TTTAACGGGAAACAGTTCACATATGCTTCTATTGGACATCTATTTCTATAAAGAAAAGCCAAAGTCATTGTATTTCTTTGCATGAGATTTTTGCATGTAATGAAGAGAACCCAATGGTTCCTTTTTCTTGTATGTATATATGTATGTACTTGTATATGGTTGTCTGTCTCTGTTTTTCTGTCAGTTTGTTTGTCAGTTGTCTGTCTGTCTGTCTGCCTGCCTGCCTGCATGTGTGGCTGTTACTGCAGCTTGCTTCTTTCTTTTGCTGGTAATTCTCATTGCTTTTATTTTCATTTCCGTTTTGGACCTCTAGATCCTCAGTAAGTCGTATAAATGTTAACAAGAAGGAACTCCTTATGCATCAAGACATGTCTTCTGAGCGCAAGCGGCTTGAAGAGAAAATACATGGAAAGGTGACTACGTCGTTTTTTGTCTTCAAAACTAACTTTTCAACTAACTGTAGCTGTATACAAAAGCAGATTGTCACTAAATGTAGTAACTTACCTCAAACAAATGTCTTAAAACTGCACTGCCTTGAAGTAATAATTATAGATGTTTGTTTTATTGTCTGTGTTTTTGTGTATTTTTATAATTCTTGAAGTCTGGTTGTGTGCTTTTCTTTAAAAAAGTTAAATATTGAGACAAACGTTTAGTGCTTTATAATATGCTGACCACTAAGCAAACGGTGTGCTATGAGACATTGGTGGTGTGTGTTAATATTGTCCAGGTGCCTGCACATTGGTGATGTGTTTCATAGTTTCACTCCATTTTCTATGCAGACATATGGTTTTATAATTTGTATCAGTTTAAATACTGACTTGTTTGTTGTTTTCCCTGTGTTGGCATTGCATCTGTCAGTTGAGACTTCAGTTGAGTGCCCTTTCCTATTCATTACAGAACTCACTTGAGTATCCTCTGCCACTCACGACACAACTTAGCTGAGTACCATTCCCACTCCCCACACACCTCAGTTTAGTGCCCTCTCCACTCAATACACACCTCAGTTTAGTGCCCTCTCCACTCAATACAAACCCCATTTTAGTGCCCTCTCCACTCAATACGCACCTCAGTTTAGTGCCCTCTCCACTCATTACACACCTCATTTTAGTGCCCTCTCCACTCAATAC